CCCCCCACCCCACTCAATAGGTAATTTATATGTATACTATCATTCAGACAAGTCAGTAAGATTTTTTTTGTTTGATGGTTTTTGAAATAAATTAACGCTAATTTATTCACAAATGTATTATTTATTTAAATTGATCAAAAGTGACAGTAAAGACCATTAATGTTACAAATAAATGCTGTTTAAAATTTCTATTCATCAAAGAATCCTGGAAAAAATGTATAATGCTTTACACTAAAATATTAAGCAGCGCAACTGTTTTTGACATTGATAATAATAAGACATTTTTGTTGAGCACCAAATCAGCATATTAGAATGATTTCCGAAAGATCATGTGACACTTAAGACTGGCGTAATGGCTGCTTAAAATTCAGCTTTATCATCACAGAAATAAATTACATTTTGAATGATATTAAAATAGAAAAAGTTAATTTAAATTGTAATAATTTAAAAATATTACTGTTTACTGCATTTTTGACCAAACAAATGCAGCCTCCTGTGTATTTTTATGCGATTGCATTGTTAGCTTAGCAACATGATAACAGCAAACTCCTTTGAATCATTTGTTAGTCGAGACTCCCAAGGAGTACAATTTACATGATTTGCTGCCAATGTAAAGTGTTCCAAATCAGTCACTTTTGGTGTTCCCTGTGTAGGCAGTAGACAGCAAGGCAGCTCACAAGGCTTTGGAACACAGCCACTCACACACCTCATAAGCTGTTCTGTGCACCAGTATTAGGCATGATAAAAAAAATATGTAAATGAAGAGAAATATAATTTACACAGTATTCAGCTTGAATGCACTGCGACTTTCAGCGTGCCGCTTGTTTTCTGCCAGCATGTATTGTTGAATGTGTCTGGTGTGAGTCAGTGGGCAGCTAAAGTAGATCACAGCAGATCTTCACCACATCTGTGCACATGTGTGCATGTAAAAAGTAGCAGTCTTATAAACCTTCTTTTCCAGTTTGGCTGACTTGGCTTATGGTCACGCTCAGAGTTGGGCTCAAACTCTGACAACTCTCAAACAAAAAAGAGTGTTTAGGACTTTGTCTCAGCCTGGATCAGATCACACACACCTATGCCCTCACACATGGTCACTTGAGTTAACTAAACACTACTGATGACTGGGGAGGGTTATTATGAATATTCAGTGGGCCTTCATGTAGTAAGATGGTTAAGCATGAAAGTCAGCTGCAACTACCAGCTTTGAACTTTTCTACTGCCAGCTAACACTTCCAGCTGTTTAGATGCAGGTGAACTGGTTTAAAAGAGATTTCAGATGATGTCACTTATAACCTTGAAGTCACACAAGTCTTACAAATGTATCAGGGGTCTGAGTCTCTCTCTCACACACAAACACACTCCTCTTCAGCCTGGTGATGAAGCAAATAATGGTTATATTCATCTATTGTTGTTTGTTTTCTTTCTTTTTTTTTGTTTTTTACTCTTCTCAAAAAAAAAAAAAATCATGTTTTATTTTCAGGGAATTATGCATGAAATTTACCTTAATTTATGTCCGCTGATTTATTTATTTTGAATTCTTTTGGTCAACAGAATAAAAAAAATAGCATGAAAGTCAGCTGCAACTACCAGCTTTGAACTTTTCTACTGCCAGCTAACACTTCCAGCTGTTTAGATGCAGGTGAACTGGTTTAAAAGAGATTTCAGATGATGTCACTTATAACCTTGAAGTCACACAAGTCTTACAAATGTATCAGGGGTCTGAGTCTCTCTCTCACACACAAACACACTCCTCTTCAGCCTGGTGATGAAGCAAATAATGGTTATATTCATCTATTGTTGTTTGTTTTCTTTCTTTTTTTGTTTTGTTTTTTACTCTTCTCAAAAAAAAAAAATCATGTTTTATTTTCAGGGAATTATGCATGAAATTTACCTTAATTTATGTCCGCTGATTTATTTATTTTGAATTCTTTTGGTCAACAGAAAAATTAAAAAAAATATTTGGAAAATCTGATATCAGTTGTGATAAATTTTATCTGGTTGAAGTATTTCCATCAGATTGTGCCACATGGTCACGACAGTTACAAATGTATCTTATTTTATCATAAAATCATATTCTTACAATATTAGTAGGGTAACAATTGAGGTAATTGAATATATAATTAAGGTAAATTTTAACCACACACTTTAGCTTTCTTAGCAAAGACTATTTTTCATAATTATTTTCCTGTTTTAACTTAAGCCTCTAATAGGCTGTTTAATAGCATAGTTTGCCCTATAAAGTGTGACAGCATGCATGTGATTGGGGCATGTTGTCACAAAAGGTCAGTCTTACCTATACAGAGGAGCTATATCGTTTTTCCTATGCCTTAACTGTTTAAAGTCGTAGAAAAGTTTTTCTACTGTAGTGCGCCCGCGCGCTGTCCAGCCCCGTGGTGCTGAAATGATTCTCCCGCATTTGCTGTTATAGAGATTTCGTGAGCGGGTCTTATAAAGAGGCGTGACGTGATTGATGCGCCAATCAAAGCGCAGCAATCAGGAATTCGTTAACACGTTAAACCACTGGAATCATGTGCTGGGAGGGGGTGAGTGCTGGCTCAGGAGCGGATGAGGGGTGCGGGACAATGTTGTAGCCAATTACAGCAAAAAGTGCCTTATGTT